CTCACAACTAGACTTATCTGTGGGCAAAATCTTAGGTCGAAATACCATCATTCGATTTATTAGCATTTACTATGCTAGAGGCTACAATTTCAGTAAAATGTCTATAACTCTGGACAGAAGACCTAAGGGCGCCTATCATTTTTGGATTTTTCACATCTCACTGGGGCCTACCTTATGCTCATACTCGCAACTCAAAAGCAACTTGACACTTGGGAATGTTTCCTCGTAAGTACAATAAAAAGACTCAATAAAACATAGACTAGTTGATGCGTGTGCTGGGTGCATCCGATAACATATATCTGTAGGCGCAAATAGGATATAGGATTAATATGTACATCAATAACCTACCCAAATAATGAAAGAATGGAATGGAACTCTATGTTACGCACTGAATATAATATCTGTTAACTACAGAAGCGGTGCGTATATTGAAAGAAAATATCTAATAAATCTTTTTATGGTAACTGATGCACTTTCGGTGTTATGAATACATTTACGGCCAATTGTTTTTATAAATTATAATTACTACAAGTAACCGAACAAAACCTTGGGTTAACTGCGGTTAACTGTCGGTTTGAGTTTGGACCATCGGTTAACCGGCAGTTTTTATGCAAACCACCAGTAACCGGCGGTTTCTATAAAAAATAGACGACATGGGAAGAGTCTAACCAGTTCATTGTTAATAATTTGGAAGTGTATTGCATGAAGGTCATGTAAAGTGGAAAAGATAAAACAAATAAATAGTTTGTAACAAGAAGTGACACATATATCACACTATCAAGCTATCTTGCTGTATACGAGAAAAGTACACGATCAAAATACGATCGTATACGAGCGTCGTTTACGATGGTCGTATTCAGTGGTCGTTTACGGCAATCGTATATAGTCGTATTGCATCGTATACGGCCGTCGTATACAAGCATCGTGTACGGCCATCGTTATTCGTCGTATTTTTTTTGTACACGGTCGTATACGATCGTAGATTTTAAACCTGGGATAACATCACTTATTTGTTTTCGAGCATAATTGTCAAATTAAAGCACTCTATATCTATACTATATACGTATGGGATAGAAATAAGCCTCGTACATGGAAATGGAAATATAAATTTTAATATAAGACATATATACCATACAAGTTGAAGCTGAATCGATACCAAAATCTAAATGAAAAATCAAAACTACTTGTTTGCAGTGAAAATTGATTTCGGTCGTCTTCCATACGATGGGAATGACTTATCTTTATAGATATTAACGGGGCACATAATATCACTTATTTGTCTTTAAAAATATTAGCGGAAAACATAATATCACTTATTTGTCTTTAAGGATATCAATAAATCGAAACACACAAAGTAAATTCCAATAATAATTAATAATTCGTTTAAATGAAATCACTTGCCTAACTTTCAAAACAAACCAAAATTAATAAACAACCATAAACTACGTATACTAAACATTAAAATTAATAATATATCAAAAAATAAATAATTACACATAAGCCACGTATACCAATTCAAACATATAAACATTAATAGACCAAAATTAAATCAAAACATATAGGTATTAACAAACATAGACCACGTGTATCCAATCAAAACATATACATTAATAAACTATCTATATCAGATCAACCTATAGATATTAATAAACAAATATAAATCACGTATACCAAATCAAAATATATTAAAAAACAAACATATACTATATACATCAGATCAACATTAATAATCAAACATAGGCCACGTGTACCAAAGTGAAACATATCACATATTGCTAAACAAACATAAGCACGTGTGTTCGATATCAAAATTAATACGTAAATATATAAATCAAATATCTCGAATCAATCAACAATATTCCAGATAAAGCACATGCCATATATCAAAAGTTAAAAATTCAATTTATCTTGTATAAATTAATTGTCTTTGTAAATTTTTAACATTACGTGTACCAAAAATAGGCAAGACTTCATTAATCGGAGATTCACCAAAGTATTTATTCCAAGCGTAGAAAACTTTCCTGAAAATATTTTCATACTTGAACAATAAGTGAAATGAACAAACATCGTTTTACTATAATCTGCTGGTACTTTTTCTTTTATAGGTGAATCCACAATTTTTTGATGAATTAAATCATAATTGTCAACATTTAATGGCGTATTAATATTAAACTTTAAGAGAACATTTTCAAATTGTTTTTCGATAAATTTATTTGGATGTGGGTGTGGGTGTTTATCGTCTCTTCACTCATATCCACATCCACACCCACCCCACACTCGCACCCTCTATCATTCGTCCTCTTCTCTTTCTTGTTGATTAGTCTGCACAAGGTCAACAGACATAACGAATGCGCAGAACATGCTCAACTAACCTGACGGTTATACGAACATTTCAGACTAGTCAATCGTCTGTGCCCACTTATTCTCTCTCTTACCCGTAACGATTGGTAGGTTTTGCCATGCTTTGTTAACAGACTATATATATCTGCTGTATAGAAGGCCTATAATATTAGGAAAAAGAGCTCTCATTTTTTATTAATCTTATAGGATATATGGTCTTATGCTGTATTACATATTTTATAACAATCTGTAAGTGAAGAGACAAACACGGGATGAACTTAGAATCGTTACCGAATGAGATTTTACTTGATCTATTCAATTATCTTAATGGTATTGATCTTCTTCATGCATTTTATTATCTCAATTCTCGTTTTAATCTTCTTCTCTACAAACAATTTCAATCATATCATTTTAACTTTTATTCCTTGCCAAAACTTCAATTCGAGATTATATGTCAACAACATTTACCATTTATTGCTGATCGAATTATCACACTTAGTCTTTCTGACGATGAAGAGACTCCAGAACAAATAAATCTTTTCTTTTCTTACATGCCATCAATTACTCAATTCACTCATTTACAATCCTTGATGTTGCATGGTCTTCACACATACGAGATACTAATCAAAATCATCAATGAATGCCAGCATCTCTATAATCTCACTTGTTTACACTTGTTCTCGCGTTTTCGTCGAAATGATCAAGTAGATTTTCAATTAATTGTTAACAATATTTGGAGTTTACCAAAACTAACTCATTGTAAATTAGAAATTCGTGTCGATGGACGTCGTTATTTTTATGTACCAGCAAAGCTCTCAACATCTCTCAAAGAGGTACGGATATCTAGACAGATTCTTAAATTGCATCAAATATGTCAATTATTCGAATACACATCTCGTCTTAAACGTTTGGTAATATGTGTTGACTTTGTTGAAAACGAGAATTATAAACTATATTCTCTTCCGACACTAATCACTTTGAACATTTTTGTTTTTCATATATCTAATCCTTCGATATTAATTTCCTTCTTAGAAAATGTACCGAATTTACGTCGTCTGAATGTCTACTTGCCATCTAACTTGATCCATGGTGATCAATGGGAACAAGTTATACGTAATTATATACCAAAACTGAAAGTATTTAAGTTAACAATGCATAAGGAACTTCCTGTCGATCAAAATATAGAAGAACGATCAAATGAATTAATTAATTCATTTCGAAGTTCATTTTGGATTGATGAACGTAAATGGTTTGTTCGATGTTTTACACATGATCAAACTATTCATCTTGAAACCTTATCTGAAATAACTGATTATGTCAAACAAAAACTTCCTGATTCATGGAAATCGACATATCCATACGATGATCATCACCAGTTTTACAATACTATCAGAAAGTTTGATCATTACGAATTTTTTAATCAACCGATCCCATCCTACATTCGTTTGTATAACATTAATTATCTTCGTCTCAAATTTCCTATTAATGATGAATTTTGGTCCATTGTTCCAAACTTAAATAAACTGAAATCACTTGCAATATCGTCTTATGATGATTCATTTCAATCTCAATTCCAAACTTTACTAGATCAAGCACCACATCTTACACAGTTAAGTTTTCATCAATGCGAACCATTGCCATTACAAATATCATTATTTAAATATACAAATGCGTCAATTCGTCAACTCAATTTAAAATTTTACAACCATCAATTCACTGAAGAAGAATGTATGACTTTATCTCATTCATCATTGGGTGTTCAATGTGAAATACTTTCTATTCAAGTTAAAAATCGTCAATGTATTATTATTCTTGTGAAAAATATGATTAATCTTCGAGCATTAAATATCAAATTTGAACATGAAGAAGATTTTCAAGAGATACAATGGATACTAGGCGATGAACTCCTAATTGAAAATACATCGGAGACAGTTGAAATTATTCAATGGTTAAAAGATCATTTACCATTAACGTGTTTAATCAGCATAGATCCACAATCAGTCAATGGTATTCGAATATGGATTTAATAGCGACAATAACTATGATACATATTGATTAATCATGAACAGATATTATTATTCAGATTCTTTATATTGAAAATATTTTTGCTTATAAAAATAAACTTGATTACAGATAGACAACATTTATTAGATTTGCATGACTAGATACATATTTCGCTGGACATTCATGCCATAAACAGAATTATCTCAGTGTAAGCAAACAAGAGGTTGTTTCGAATGGCGCTTTTTGACTAGTCAAACAGCCGAATTTCGATAGATGAAAAGCATCAAAGGTTTTACGTTATAGCCGTGCTCTATAAAATCTTTGAAATTGAAGCGAATTTTCATTGCTAGAATATCCTATTTGAAATTTCTTCAAAATCCATCGAACAGACCTCTCAGTGAAGCTTTCACATGGACACTTATAGCTACAAATTGTTTTACTAGTCGTTAGTACCGGTCAAACAAATGCAAAAAAATAATCGTTGAACATAGCTTATTAGCATTGGTTGTTTGTCGTTTATTCGCAAAAAGATCAGTATATTAATAAGTATTATGACAGGTAGAGGAGAATGAAAAGGAAGAGAGAAGGATAATAACTAGATTATTGAGAGTAACCTTGGCAACATAAACTTTTATGGTTACAAATCATTTGTGAGTCACTCGAGCTAAATATAAATGTTGAATTCTGTTTTTTTATTGATTTATGATTGTACTAGTAATCTTGCTATTGTATTCTACATCATTGAATAAATTAGTGAATTTTACATGTGAAAGTGTTGCATATGCGGCATCCATGGAAGATTATTAAACTTTTCTTGCTGACAAAAATAGATTTAAGAAAAAAAAAATCAATGTTGGCTTAAAGTCAATGAGAATCACTTGCAAGGAAACTGCTCATATATTATTGATGTTCACTGCTGCACAAAACTGCTTCGTTCGAAAACGATTCAATAGAAGCATGGATAAGAAAGACAATTGGACTTCTATTCATTTCATTTATTCATCAGTCAAAGACAGAGTTCACTTCGGCATTAGTATGGATAAGTACATTCACTCATTACCTCACTATGATCTGACAGCATACTCATATATTTGCCTTCAATCACGCTTTCTTAAATAAACTACTATCCTTAAATGTCTGTACAAGAAAAAAGCAAGAAGAGAATGTCTTAATATCGACGTTAGACTGTTAAATCGCAAAAAATTAATACAGTAATCTTGAACGTGGACGTTCAAGGAGTATAGTGCTTGTTTATCAAGTATATTTTTCCAGATTATCTTTTAGAAGAACTCTTTTCTTTGAATTTTGAAACAGAATTATTTGAACTGTTTTCTGACAATATAACGGGTGGGCCAGAATAAATGACACTAAATGCTTTTGCTTTTTTCGGTCATTTTCTGTTCAGGAAATATAATCTTTTTTATATTAAACGATAGAGAATTTCAAGCTCTACAAAACTGTCTACTTTCTTTTTCAAATGCATTTTTCTTGTCAGCGCCTAATTAAACAGACTCAGATCTACTCAATTATTCAACTGCGATTTGCTGTTTTCTGCTGACAGTGATCGATCAGTGCAAAGTTTTGCTCATCAAGACCAATGCTAAATATAAAGTATTTAACACCTGTAGATAGAGAATTTTGTGATCTATCCTTTCACGCCCTTTTCAAAGTTCCTGCTGCTGTTGCTCAGGAGAACAAAAGCCGGAACTGATATCTGTCATAATTTTAGGATGCACTTTGAAGAATCAGCTTGTTAAAAGCCAAAATTGCTCTATGCAAGATTTATTATTATGTCATCGGATGCAGAATTCAATTCTGAACAAAATGGTGTAATTGTTAAATTGAAGTATGAAAAAATTTACGTTATTGCGAACTAAAAAAAGAACCATGGTCCAAGTGTATCAGAAAAGAGATTTTTCGTTATTTTCACGTATTTCCCTTCAAACCTGTTTCCTTCAAATATTTTCTTTAAAATTCTGAAACATACAGCCAAAGATGCAGAATTTTATGGAGACTCTTGTAGAATAGTTAGAATTTTAACTAAATGATTATTTAAAAATTTTCATCATCTTTTTCGATTTTCTTATCATCGCAGTTGAATGATTCAGTAGATGTAAATCTTTTTAACTAGGTGCCGACAAGAAAAACATATTTGAAAAACAAAGTATATAGTCTTGTAGAGCTTGAAATTCTCTATCTTTTAATATAAAAATGAATATATTTTCTGAACAGAAAATGAACGAAAAAAATCAAAAACATTTAGTGCAATTTAATCTGGCCCACCCGTTATTTAAATTAATGTATGAACATCTTAAAATCAGTTTTACATGGAATTGTTGTTCAGTTAAACACAAACTAAATTACGTAATTCATCACTTCGAAGTGGTACAGTTACGCTAAGATCAACATATTTCACATGCGAGATATATTTAATGATTGATGATGTACACATGACAGCTGATCAATTCAAGGTGAAAACCAATATTTAAATTGTATGATTTCTCTGATGCAACATACGTACATAGATATTTTTAATGAATTTGTTTCATTGAATCTTTATTATCTATTCAATGTATTCGATGTTTTACAGAAAAATTTCTACTTTCGGAATTTATTCAAATATGAGTCTGGTCGAAACAGCATATTATTGTTTAGGGTGTGGGTGTGAGTGTGGGTGTGGGTGTAGGTGTGAGCCTTAGATTCACCCACACCCCACCCTATAATGAACAAATTATATTAGAATAATTCATTTCTTCACAATATAATTAAAACAATGCTAACTGATAATATTGTTGTGTTTTAAAATAAAATGAACATAATAATATTTCTACATTAGGTTTATTTTAATTAGAATGAAAAAAACCAAATATCGTTAAATTAAATTATTTCATTTTATATTTATTGTTAATATACAGGGTGTCCCAAAAGTCCCGTGGAAAAGTAAATTCGTAGAATTCGACTATTTATCAAACTTAATCAATCAATTTTTTTTCATATGATAGATATAAGTGTGAAGTTTTTGTTTGCACGGACAAACTTCGCGAATACTGTTCAAAGTTATAACTTCCGACTGAACACCAAAGCCAGTCCTTTTTTCGACCCACTTGGGAGTGTTTCTCGTTCAATACCTCAGTTTCTTGCGTTTTTTGTGACTTTTATATCGGTCACATCTTACGCTATCGTTTATATGCATTTGTTGTGATATGTCAGTGCAAAATAAGCCTAATAATATCACGTTCCAAGACCTTGAAGCTCATGAGATCGACTTTTCTCCAGTTCATCAGTCAGAGTGTGGGTGTGGGTAAGGAGGAGACCCACACCCACGCCCACTCACACCCACACCCCGTCTGCCACTTATGGAAAAAAAAAGAATTTTAAAAAATCCTTGTCAACTTTTTCTTACAGGGTTAAAGTGAGAGATTAGTGTACACAAAAGACAAACGTATGAAATAAATTATTGCATAGTACATGTTCGTGAAACGTGCTGATATGTAAGTTGAGTATTAGCAGTGATATCGATCCATAAAATCAATCTTTTTTCTCGCTCAGCTATATTTAATACCGCCGATTCAAATGAATCCGTTCGTAGACGACAATGTTCTGTGATCCAGGCTTGATCCGGAGCATATTGACTTCGAGTTAGATGCAATGTGAGTTTCTCCAGATGAACAAATTCATTGAGTAAATAACAGAGCATTTTTCGTGAATGATAGTCTGTTATCAAATGAATTAGTCGAGGAAAAAGTCGACATATATGACGGAAAAGTTCTTTTCTGCTCGACGGCTCATAATTGAAAAGAGCAAGCTCTCGAATAGATAAAAATGGTGATACAAGTTGATCGAAGAGGTTACAACTCTGTAAATGATTAAGACGAATACTATATAGATGAGGCATATTCTTCATTAAAGAAATTAATCCATCGTTACTACCGACTTGTGATGAAAATTCAAAATATTTGATCCGTCGAAGATCGATATTCTCTCGAATTTTCTCACATAATTTCATCGTCAGGTGTCCAGACAATGATAGTCTTGTGACATGATCGAAGCATGGTTGAGTTACAGATTGAGACATGAAGATTTGTTCGAATTGATCATATTGATGTAAATAAAGATTGAGATCATCAATATTCGAATAAAAAATCTTTGGATTCTGTATTAAATCTAATGTAGAGAAATGATGATGATCAAATTTTTTCGACGAAAAATAAGGTACAGTAATCAATGTACTAAGATGAGAATTATATTCGACGAACCATTGTTTCGTCTGCAACCACCATTTTGAACGAAATCGACGTAAAAGACGACGGATTTTGCCTTTCGATTTTTCCATAATCGAAAATTGAAAATTGAATGTTTTCAAATACAACAACGATGTTGATAGAAATGATTCCCATCGAATTCCGTCCAATAGATGATTATTCGTTGCCAATGGTTTCCTTAATATTAATGTCAGATATCTCAATCGATACATCTTGGATAAGATTTGACGCATTGTCTTGAACGGTGTATCTAGATCGACTAAAAAAAAGTAAAAACATCGAACACTAGAATAGAAATTATATAAACAGAATACATTGATCGCATATATATCCACTTAAAGTGCGATACGGATGGTACATCGAATTCATTTTAGAGAACGCAACAGAAAACTTTCAATAGGCTTTCACTAGCACTGGCTTCAGCAGATCGTCACTTTTTGACCAATTATTAATAAAAAAAAAACATCTTGTAACCAAAGGTGTAGTTACAGAAATGTTAACAGATCTCGAAAATTTAGCTACTGATATTAATATCATTATCTTGTACCAAGATCTGTAATCAGATCTTATCTACAGATCTTAACTGAAATATTCGTGCTCAAAAATGACCATTAAAAGTCGTTTATGGATGACTTCAAATACTACTGAGATAGTCAATCCGAAATAAAATTTGACGTTGAATGTGAATCTGATATCGAATCGCTGCTGTAAACACAAGGAATCAAATTAGAGACAGGTGATCAATGCAAAAACCGCTCCAAATCGTGGTCTTCACGAACATCCGTGAATGAAGATCATGTTCTCTTAAATGCTACAGGTTAATCCAGCTTCAAGCAGTAGCAAAATTATTCGTGACTGGTACTATCAAGTCAAGATCTTGATGCAAGATGATAAGTTTATTATCTTGTACCTAAATTATTAAGATCTATTAACAAGTCTGTCACTTAGAGGTAATCTCTTGTTAACTATTCTTGAAAAGAAAGAGTTATTTTAATATATTTACCATTTAAACGGAGATTAAATTGAATTAGATGTGTCCATTGATAATTACTGAATGCTTTCGTAAATTGTTGAATATTGTTTGAATCACAGTGTAGACCAATACCAAGTGATTTTAGTTGGCGCATATTCGAACGAATAAATTGATCCATAACATTAATCGAATCAGAAAATATATGTAAAAACGTTAGATGAGTCGGAATTTGTTTCGATAATAGACGAAATTGACGACTCGAACATAAAACAAGATGTTTTAAGGAATCAAATGTATATCTCGATGATGTATTGAAGTGATTCAGATAAATACGATCGAAACGAATTGACACAAGTTTATTTAAGTCGATGATTGATACTAATCTTGTGAGAAATAATTGATCAATTAAGATTGTATCATCAATCCATAATGACCGAAGACGATTTAATGATTGTCGATTTGAAAAATTTGATATAAATCGATTGACTAAATCAAAATAATTTCGACCAAATTGCAAGCCAACAATTTGTTCTGAACGTAGAAATGAACAAATTAGATCAAATTCTTTTTTACTTATGTCCGATGCGGATAAATCCAAAATATAATGATCATATCCAATGAGAATATTATTAAAATGGTTATTTAACGAATGAAATGCTTTTAATATGTGACCACCAGAGAGATACGATAAGATTTCATAAAATATTTCAACTGGCAAACAATCGAGTAATAGATTAGGCATCTTCCTATTTCACATGACAGATAAAACAAATAAGTTCTGTCTACACAATGAAATCTAGAAATAATCAAAACCACGTAGTAAGTTCCTCTCACTTTGAAAAAGAAAATGCGCGGAACAACATATTAGTATGAGCAAAAAATCTCTTCTAGGTAGAAGAAGTTAACATTTCTTAGGAAGCTTCTAACCGTTCATCTATGAGCTTCTTGCTACGGTAGTTCAACACTTATGTATATAACACTAATAAACGATGGGTCTTCGATCTCGGACTATGTTGTTTTCCTATCAAATATTCCGAGAATCGCCAATTAGCACGGAATTTGAGGAATGAATAAAAGAATATGTTTGAGTGTGAAAACAAGAAAACGAAAAAATTTCCTAAGGATTTTACTATTCTCTTCCCATTATTTTTCTCTCTAAACATCTCTTTTAGATCGTGTTTCAAAAAAATAAGAATCAGTTTTCCGGTCTGGTCTGAAGGACAGCCTAAAATTCAAAGAGCGGCCTGCCGTCGGGTCTCGACTGGCTTTGAGATTAAACCAGGCTAATTGATGTTTCTGATTTATCGAATCGATTGACATTCTATAGCGTCACAGAGTAAATTCCGGGCATGGTTTAGTATAGCCCTCGCCCCCCCCCCCTCCCCACTCAACATAAAGTCCATGTCCTCTCTCCATATCTTCACCCTCACTTCACTTCAAGACAAAACCTCATCCTACACCCTCACCCTTTGCGGTTTTGTCATGAAACCGAGGTGAGGGTGAAGATTCTAGAGTGGGAGATAGATTTTATGTTGAGTGGGGGCTATACCAAACAGTGCTCTAAATTTCTTTGAAAGCTATGAGATTCTTTATTCAATTCAACAGGACATTCGAAAGTATACTAATACGAGACAGCAGTTGATAATACATTTTTATCAATAAAATCATATTGATATTGTGGATGTTTTAATAAATGAGACATCTATTTGCGGGAGTGGAACCATGATTATAACAAAGAAACAGATGATAAAACATTCACCTTTGATGATACTCGAACAGATGCAGCATACCAGGATGATAAAACCAAATTATTAGTAGTAGACACTAGTTAATTTAAATTTACGTCGATGAAAAATCAAAAACGCAAGCGAGAGTTTTGTGTATTACATGGATGACAGCATTGTTTCTTTGATAGCCTGCCTAGACAGGATGACATTCCTAGTATCATCTTGATACTAGATGTATGTGTTCGAGTTTTCCTTTGGAAAAATTTAGAACATTGAAAAACTAATTCCTGAATTAAAGTCAACTAGAAATAGTTCATCTTGGAATCGAAAATGAAGTGTTTATACATGATTAAAATCAACACACAATCAAAAAAAAGAAAACCGAGATAATCCAAATAGCATATATACATACATGTTCTTATTTGCGGGAATGCAATGTTATCAAACTGAGAAGCCTAGATGAATCAGTATTTCGAATTGTCTTCGACCACTTCTTCGATGTGACGTCTAAATAAGACTGTCATACAATTTCGCCATCGATACACAATGCCAGAAATACATCGATCACATCCTCTGATTCTCTGATCAGACGAAGACATCGATTTGTTCATATAAGGAAACAGACAACAATACAGAAGTAGAAAGAAGATCGGATATACACATTGAGCGATCATGAAACCGAATACATGTCGATAGTGTCTTTCCGGACAAGACAATTGAGCAATAAGTGTTGCATTTTGTAGTGTTTTCCGAATTTTGTCCATTTCCACACCTATTATGAAGAACCAATCGACAAACAGATGCCAACCTGGTACATATAGATAATATAATGCTATGAAACCGGCATGACGACAAGAAGGTAACTCGCGAGCTATTATGCTGATAAAGATGAAACCCAATACACCCAAAACGAATGGAAAATTCATGAAAAAGGATGCACGTATCCAACCAAGATTTGTATCAGAAAGTCGACAATTGTAAAAAGCGAGAACTATTTGATACGTAGCAAATATTAGAAGAATCACAATTAAAAATAATGCAACTAAACTATGAAAAAACTTTGTCAAAGAGTCACAAATACGATGCAAGTGCGTTCTAGGTGGATTCAAAGATCTTACTGGATGGAGTGAAGAGTTGATGCCAGGCGGAGATAAAATTACAATTGGATCAGCAGAGAATTGTCGAGTTGATGGGAAAAACATTTCTTTTCGAGAATCATACATTGGAATAGTTCATCAGGTTGGTAAAGATTTTTTTCGGCGACGGATAAGAATTCTATATAATTGTGCGACAAATCGTGCGACTCACTTCGCCACTTCCTTTCACTGATTCATTGTTCGTCTTTTATATCTATAATGAATAATTCTTTATCTGTCGTTCGGTTATTTTCGTACATTAGTCATAAAAAGAAAAACGATAGGAAGGAAGAGAAATTTTTCGGTACCTTTTGAACTGCATGACTTTGCATAGTTGGAAATAACTAATGTTCCTCCACCTTTGGTTTTGCGCTGTTTGTTGTGATTGCGAAATAATGTTATTTTTCGATTTCACCTTCATGAGCAAGTCTATAGTATTTACTCGGACCTATCACCATTTTCCTGTTTTTACAACGCCTGAATTTTTGACTACAAAAAAAACCTCTTGCGCCATTATGACGACATTCCCTTTCAACGAAATAATCATGTTTGCATTTTTTATGTTGGATTTTTCCTTTAACTTCCATGTAAATAGGTGAGTGTGGACGTGAATGTGCATGTCGGTGGGTGTGAGTCTCTTCTGAAAATTCCTTCTCACCCCCACACTCGCCCTTCTTTAAAGTTTGCATAGATAATAATAAGACAATATTGTAATAGTTTTTAGCTATTCAATGCCCTTTGGGTAGGTGTGGGTGTGGGTGTGGGTGTGGGTGTGGGTGTGGGTGTGGGTGGGTGTGGGTGTGGGTGTGGGTGTGTGGGTGGTGTGGGTGTGGGGTGGGGGTGGGTGTGGGTGGGTGTGGGTGGGTGTGGGTGTGGGTGTCGGTGTGGGTGTGGGTGTGTGGGTGTGGGTAAAAAGGCATAATCACCCACACCCACACCCACCCACACCCTATTTCTTTAAGAACACATCGTTATTTGATAAAGATTTCAGATTATAATTTGCTACATCAATGTATTGGACTGCCTGATAGAATCATTCAAAAAAACAAGCTACCTAGTATTTAACATTATTACAATCTACATACATAGTAAAATCTGAAGTAGCTGCTTGACGAACTTCTCATAAAGGAATTACAAATGAATTACAAAATTCTATTTAATCAGAAATCTTCTAAGTCTAAAGAAAAATACCTTAGAGAATAGAATTGATTTCATATCATAATGAACAAACGAACATCTCTTTCGTACTAAATATGTACACAACTCATACTTCGACTTAGAACTTTTTTTTAATATAATTGTGTGGTTGTATAATTTTCATCTCTAATGTATAGATGCAGCCTATAGGTTCCAAAATTTTTGTACGTCTAATCGAATCATTAAAGTGCCCTACTTGATAGATTTTCGAATCTGATTATTTTATAGTCTCTTGTTGCTTTGAAAAAAAATTGAAACTGGGAATAGCACTAGAATTGCTGAATTTATATCGAGAAATCTTCATTCTTGAATTTACAAAGTCCAGAATATATGTATCATATCGTTTTATTTCAAAAAATCTAATGACGAAATTGTTGTATCTATTAGATAACTCTCACGAAAACTTTTGAGACCGAAACCAGATCGATTCCATTCATCTGATCTCTCTTACTGTTATAGTTCTCATTATGGCACTACTTTCTAGACAACTTTCATATCCAGGAAAATATTTTCAATTAAAAGTATGGCTACCATTCATTTCTATACATTATTTCAATATTGAAAATAATTTCCAATTATGAAATCTATTTTATTTAGTTGAAACTTTACAAAGAAAAACTGAAATAAGAATTAAACATACTTTCACTAGGATAAACAAGTGGATTAAAGTGTTGTCAAATGTGATAGGCATATTAGTATAACATATTTAATACTAATAGATGATTGATCATTACTTTTTATTGTACCATTCTCATATGGACTATATATCTAATCAAAAAAAAAAAAAGAAAATTTATAGTTGATTTTTTTTAAATATCGCATACTTTGAAATACATTGTTCAGCAAGTTTGCAATTGACTGTTCGTTCTTCATTATTAATCATTGATGTTGAATCTAATTCATCATTTATTTTATTTAATAAAATATCTTGTTGTTCACTATTTTCAATAAAATCAATATTGATTTCTTGAATGATCTATTGTTTTAGAAAAAAAGATAAAAAGAAAACTCTTGTTTATTAAAATGAGGAGATCGACAAAGCCAACCTTTGTCTATCTGATTATGTTCTATGAAAAAATAAATAAATAGGTTAATATTATTTATTATGTAAGCACATTGATCACTTGAACATTCATATTTAATATAAAGATCAACTCGAAATAAATAAATATTTATCAAATAAGAATATTGATAAATCTAAGTACATACGCAGGATAAAGATTTAATCAAATAGAAATAAACAGGTTGGATAGACTTTTTTTAAACAAGGATATCAATCAGGCCGAGTTCATCTTTTATATAAAGATTAATCGAACAATAATAAATGGGTCTATCGTTATTTATATAATAGTAATACCCTTTCTATCTAACAAAAATAAAGCAAACAAAAACACTCAACTCAATTGAATTTCTTAACTAACTCAATCGATAATTTAGACTTGATCAAATATATGAACTCTATCTATAATATAGACATGAAATAAACGACAAAAAAAAAAAGATAAATATGATTTTTGAGAAAAGTAAATTGATAATTATATATCCATATTTCATATATAGATTAAGTTAAGAATAACAAATTGTTTATTTTAATTTACCAGCGAGAGATAAAAAAAAAAACTCTTATATAGAATTTTTGTCTTCGTCTTCATTTATTTAAATATCATTTCAAAATAGAGACATTGATTCAGGATGACGTTCAACTACTCGTCTAATTTTATTAGATTTATCATTTAAACGGTATGAAACATTTTCTTTTTTTCAAATTAATTAAAATTGAACAAATCTATATAAATTTGTTGAAATTCGATTAGTCTTTATAAAGGAAAGAAATGATTAAGTCGAGATTATTCATTCAGTCAAGAACTTTTTATAATATTTAAGAACAAAAGATCATTTATCTAATTGATTTATTAGAACAATTAATGGTCGAATTGTTTCGATCGAAGTAACGATTTCAAATGAGAATTTATCATTTGAAAAACTAAAAGATATTGAGAATATTTTAAATAATTTTTCAATTGAAACCAATGATAAATGCCTGTTGTCGATAAAGTTCTCGTCTAATAATAACAAATCATGGTCATATATCATTAGTATGACTATTAAAGAGAATGAGAATTAGATCATCTAGATTGAGATATATGAAATCTAGAATAGGTTTGTCGCATCAAGTGAAATATTTCAAATCTATTATCAATTCGTTTGTTCTTCTCTATATATTGATATTGTCTATAATCGAAATCGTTTCTATCTTAAGATTTGTTTTATTCATCTTATTAAATAATTTGCTGATCGAATATTCTAAATGGTTATTTTCCTTGATTTGACTTAAATCATATATTAATTGATGAGAAAAAACACAAATTTACTTTTAAAGTAGTTCATAACTAACTTTATTGACGTCGAAAGGAAAACGTTAGATGAACAATAAATAGAATTTAATAGAATTCTATAATAATCTCAAAACCTTATCAAGATAAGATAAGGTTATAAAACTATTGAGAGAAACAATTTCTTAATATATTGGCGAGTTGAATTTCGATAAATTGATGTTTCTAGAGAAGAAAATCAATATATTGGTCATAGATAACTTCTCTCAATAAATGATCTTATATTTTTTCAGTCTTTCTTCTCCTATTTAATATATGTTATTAGATAAGGAATTCTCGAGAATTTTTAGCTAAAATAAAATAAAAAAATGAGGCAAAGAAAATTTTTGCATCAGTTTCAGTTTCGAGTTTGTTTCAATAGATCTGATTATATAAGAGGAAGTTTTAATTATAAATAACTGATTGAAGAGATTTTTTTTTCGAAATTGTTTGTTTCTTCTAATAAATCTTGGAAATAGAAACGGAATATTTTGTTTTTATTAACCGTTTACAGTATATGTCATGTTCAAATCGAAATTTTGATAGAAAAAACAAATTCCATCTTGTAAAAGATTCTATAGGGTAAAATTAAAATTTATTCTTCATATTATTGTCAAACAAATCTTAGTATAAACTATCTATGATAATCGTTTCCTTTTTCTGCAATATCATTTTTTCTCATTTTGGACAATCAAAAATCTGTAAAAATCAGGATATTATTAAATCTTCAATATAATTATTGAATAGAGTTGATCACCGAACATTATTCAAGACCACCATGAAAATTTTTGTTGCATTTTTTAGTTGAAATATTAAAAAGATGCAATCTATTTTTACATTAAATCTTATGATGAACGTTTTCCATTTATTCAAGAACACACCTCACATGAGAATGTGAAAACGTTTATTGACGAAGTCTTCTTCTGAACCTTCGTTCGTCCACATATTGAAATTTGACTGGATGTTTGAGCATAAAAGCATCCAGCCTCTTTCTCACAAGGGAACACCACCAGATCAAGCTTCACCTTTTCATCTGATATTTTGTCTATATTAGGGCCTTAGTGAGACTAGAAAAACGTCAAAAATCTTTGCCTTTTGTATGGGTTTCTTGTTGATATATTCTCAAAGAATGGGTGTTATTTATATTGAAATAGAATCTAATCTTGATTTTTTCACAACGATATCAAATATAGACTTTGTTTTTTTTTTGCGTGAGCTGCATTTCATAGTGGCTATATGTGACACACTGTTTTAGCTCTATCAAAGATTTTGAAGAATGTAAAAAAAAATACTGTAACTCTATATTTGATATCGTTGTGAAAAAGTTGACATTAGATTCTATTTCAATATAAATAATAGGATTCTTAGAGAATATATCAACTTCATATCTTAACAAGAAACACATAGAAACCCGAACCATTTTGACGTTTTTCTAGTCTGACTAAGGCCCTAATATAGGCAAAATATCACGTGAAAAGTGGGGCTTCACCTGGGGGTATTTCCTCGTAAGTATAATGTTCCTCTTAAGAAAAAAGAATTCAACAAAATGTGAAAGTCAATTCTCCACATAAAAACCTTTTCTACTACTAAACGAAAAGATATATTTCAGAAATATTTCTTTCTTATTCTATGTTGATATGTTTCTCTATATAAGAATCTAAAAAAAAAACGACATCTATTTTTTTTCTTGTAAACTGAATCTTAGTTGCTGTTTTGAAAAACAAATCATCTGTGTAGGTCATTCGTCTCCGAAATATTCCTTCGAATAGCAGTTGTACTCAAAGAATAGGTTTTTTGTGAGAAAAAGAATTAGTGGAATAAATAAAAAAAAAACTAATGTCCTAATTTAATAAATTTTTATATATCTTTTCAAGATAAAACGGGCAAAGACGCTGCTGTTTCTAGTCTCAATCTGATATCAACGTTCAGTAGAAATATTTCAGAGGTCGAAGAAAATTTCTTAAATATTTCCATAAGCTTTTTGTTTGTTTGTACAAAGGTTCCATCATGATCAGGATAAACGTCCTAGTAGAATCCTCAGTTCTGTCAGATTGAAAGCGAAAGAAAATAAAAAGTTGAAAAATCCTTCCATTTATTACTCTTAGAGATTTACGATTTCTATTATAATTCGTCTTGTAATCTAAACGAGTTAAAAATCTTCAGTGAATCCTGAATAAAAACCGGTGAAAATCTTCATAGGATCCTGGAAATCAAATTGACAAAAGACTTTAAACAGAAACGTTCAAAGATCTAAGCTAGATTCTTCTAGTTTCCTATCATGCTTGCTTTTCTCTTGTAAACGATCCAAAAAAGACTTGCTTATGAAAAATTCAGAACAGGATCCTGATCGAAATTTGGCAGGATCTATTCGTTTAGGATTCTGACTAAGGATAAAGAACAGATATTGACTGAACATTTTATAAAATCTTAGCAACAATCCTCTTTCCTATTCATATCGACATCTGACAGGATCCGCCATTCTCATTTTGGAAGAGTGTAAGAGCAACAACTTCAACAAATCTTGACGAGAATCCTATTGAATAATGAGAAATCTTGTAACACAGGAATAACTAGGATTTGAGATAGGATCCGGAATAAAAACTGGGCAAGAACATTGAGATTAACTATCCTTTCAAACTTTCTTGACGAATGAGCAGGATCGAGACTAGGGACATTATATTCGAAATAGAAATAGAATAGTGTAGATTTTTCTTTGAAAATTCATGGAACAATTCTTATTTTAACAAATTTTCTTTCTTTGTTCTCAATTGTTAGTATTCTTCATTTATTTTTCAAGACTTATTAGACGCCAACATCAATTAGAAACAATATCTCAACAATCAAAACTCTAACAAAATAAAGAGTATATACCGAAACAAAAAATGATTTTATCATA